TTTTTAATTTTATTTGTTATATAATATGTACTTACCTTTGTTTTGTTCAGAGTTTGGCCTGTTGTCCAACCTCAAATTATAGTTTTGTAAATCATTTTCTAATTTTGGTAACGGAAGTTTGGTAAACATTAAACTGTTTTGACGATCTATGCCTTCTTGATCGGATGACGGTTGATTTGTATTGTTTGATCTTGACAAACAAGCATACGTTGAGTTATGCATATCTCGGACAATGGTTGTATATTTTGTTTGAAAACCATTACAGTTTTAATACGGCCTGAAATGTAAAAAAATAAATAACATTTTACTATTTATTATTTTTATTAGTTCCTGAAAATCGGCTAAAAGATGTACTAGAAATATTTCGGATATATTAATTTCTATGTTAAGTTAGGTTAGAATTTTATAAACTTTTCAGTAAATAAAAATAATTGAAAACATTAACAAATATTTCTAAATATTATTCAAATTTAAGTATGAAACGTTGTACATAATACAATATCGGCGTTCTTCAAGTATAAATTAGAGTGGCCAATTTATTGTTACCATATTGTTACCAGATCGATAAGTGATATTCCGTATCCCGGATGACATTAGGAGACAATATTATTTTTATTTTAGTATTGTCATAWTTCACAATAWTTATCACAAGATTCAACAAATTCATAAGTGCCAGAACTATTTATAAATTGGTGTTATTGAAATAATAGTGAATTTGACAATGTTTTTTCTTTAATTTGGTCTTTAATATTGTTATTTTATAAATCATTATTATTTGCAAACATTGAAATATTGAATACTAATCACTATCGTGCTTATCTTTTGATCCTATTTTCTTAAGGCCTTGTGTTAAATATCAGTAATATCGAGCCACAATAATTGTCATATTTTAATTAAGAGCGGCTAGTTGAGTAAGTTGTGTATATTACAATAGTTTATTTTGAATATACCGCATTGTACATTATAATAAAAAGTTTCCATTTATCTATGTTTATGAAATAATGTTATAAATACAGGCAATTTCAACAAACACATTGGGTTGGATGTGTGTACGATCATTGCTACATAAGCATTTTTAAAAATGTTTGACATAAAATATATAAACGATGAAAATAAATTTTTAGTTAGGTATAACATAGACCTAAATATTTTATAGAAATACAGGATGTTCGATGTACATAAGYATAGTGTGATTGCATTTGTAGGGTAATAGGTTGGTGGCTATAGCCTATTATTTTTCTGTACACAACATAATATGTTTGAAATATGTAACAAAAAATAAAATAAAACATTTACTCGTATGAGATGGGTGGTGACTAATCTAAATTCTAGGGAGGCTATAGCACTTTTGGACCCCATCATTTTACTGCTATGCTGAAGTGACATCTGAATGTTAAAACCAAGATATACCAATTAAATAAATTACTTTATTAAAGTTTATAAAAGTTTATTTTAGTGACGAAATTATAATATCCAATGATGGACGACATGATAGCAAAAATCCGAAAAGAAAAACATTTAAGTTATGGTTATCTATRCAATAATTTTAAAYTCCATGTATTCATAAATTTAAGAATAGTTATAAACACTTTTAGATTACCTACTTATAAAAGCTATAAAGCTAATGTAGTTATAAAGAGTGATTAAGAACAAATTTTCGATAAATTTATGGTTAGAACCACCTAACCATACTACAATATAATCACACAGAAATTCTTTAGCCTTATAAAGGGCAAATGAAAATGCTAGGTATATGAGTACATTTTAATACCTACCTAATAAAAAAATTAAATACGTAAGGTATTTTTTTGTTTAATTTATTTAACATACTGCACTTGTTCCTCTATCAATGTTTTAATTTTAATTTAATACAAAACGATATTTTCATTTCAAACGTTTTTACTATAATTATTATACTTCAATTTATTCTTCTTATTTATACATATTAGAATGATTAAAAATCTACGATACTTAAGATCAATATTATGTAGTTTTATTTGAAATAAATATATATATATATTATATTAGGTTTATTTTATTTTTGATGTCTTAACAGTTTTATTTTGGTACTTTATGGACCATACATTTATTTTTATTTTTATTCATATTCTTATTACTTTTTTCAAATAAATTTCTCTAATTTTATTGTTTATTTTATTATACTCTTTATGTACCTACCGTTTAAATGCATTAATATTGGAGATGTTTATAAAGATATAATTGAAACACATTTACGTACAAGAAGGCCAAGATGGTTATTTACATACTGCATAGTTATTGTCATTGTTCAAATTATGTCAATATAAGGGAATAGTAACAATGAATATAATATAAAAAGGAATTATTTTTCCAATAATAGTTTGAATGTTAACTTGAATGCAACTGTAGAATTAAATATYATCATATTTGATATTATTTAAAGTTTAATCTTCCACAGGTAGTAAATATCTAGCCAATAAATTAAAAAACAGTGAATTCAGCTTATAAATTTATATAGTTCATTGTAATTATTATTAACAGGTAAGTTCTATTATGACAGTGATATAGGTTCGTGTTAAAATATGTGTATTTATTATAAAGCGATTGGGTATAATATAAGCATACAAAATACTATACCAATAGGTACAGGTACATCATCATATTGTAAGCACCAACGAAAATAGAGTACATACTTAAATAATAATCGTGAAATATGGTAACATTGGTAACTACACCTTAAACTATATAAATATGTAATATATATTTTTGTTTTCTTGCTTTTATGTGTATTTAAATGTATGAAGGTAATTTAAAAATGCCTTGAATAGCAAATTCTAACAAAATATTTATACAACATAGGGTCCCAAATATTTTTATTAAATATTAAAAKTAATTCTAAACTCAAAAAATAATCATGAATAATAATTACTCTAATTATTAATTATTTAATTTCAATAACGTAATATACGTCTTATTGTTAACTTAACGCGATTATCACAAACCGTTGGCATATAACTGATGTCGGACAAACAAATAATAAAAAACTAGTTTATTACTTAAAAAAATTAATATAAACTATCATTACTTTTTCAAAATTATAGCTTTCTCGCGAGGACTGGAGACTAAAATACTTAAAAAAATGTCTTTAAACTAAATTTTAAATTTCTAAGAAGTAGGTACGTAAGTAAATACATATAACATTTATGTATAGGTATTAAAAAAATATGGTTTCTAAATTAATTTAAAAAGACGTACAGACATTCACTTTGTCTCGGGATAATTAAACCAGTTTAATCCATTAAACAAATTACAATATTAGAAATGTTTGTGCAAAAAAAAAAAATACATATAATTAAATTAATTACTATCAAATCTTTCTACTTTCTATCATAATAGACTAACGAAATGCAATTAATTTGAAACTGTAATATCTGATTGAATCTTTTAGAATAATAATAAGAGACATAAATTCCGTTGAAAATATACAATGCACAAACAAWATACATATACTATGTATAAATTACATATATATTATAAATATAATAAACTATATTGTAGTATTATATAGAGTAAATAACACTGGGGCGATTTCTTTAAATTATATTTTACAAATTATAACATTAAGACACATTTCAAAGAGCCATGAGCCAAAATATACTAAAATATAATAAAGTATACATAATATTATGCTGTTAGATAAACAGTAAAATGTTTGCAATAATAGCGACAATTATAAAATCGATTGATTTCAATATCAATATATTGTTTTTTGGATTATCCAAATAGAAGTACCCTACAATCTACTACATAACACTATGGATCATAATAATATGATKAAATTGTGATAAACTAATAAAACACTAATGATCGTTTTCTGTAATTATTTTAATAAAAGGAAGGTAAAATTATATAGGTATATGATAATTCATAAATTCACTTTTATTTGTGACGTTTATTCTCCCTGAAATATTCTATATACTATTATTAGTATTCGAATGTTTATTAAAATAAATACATTTTCTCAACTTAATATTGTTTATAGATAATAATTTAATAAATACTAAAATGTAAATGTAACGTATTACATAAAAATAGGTACAATATTTTAGTATGACATAGATTTGAAAAAATACCCAAATATTTCATATATTTGTTACAAATAATAATATAATACTTATTATTTGCTTTAAATAAGTATACGCCGTTAGATTATCTATCGGGTCTTTATACATTCTCCGCAACAGAAAAATCCAACGGTATTTGCATTTAGTTTAGTAAAGTTAATAAGTATCTGTAGGTAATAAAAAAGAGCTAACCGAAAAATTCTTTTTTCTCGTAGCAAAAATCATTATTATCAATTAATCAATATTAATACCTAGATATATGATACAAACCGCAATTTCACTATTCTAACTAATTTATTTGTTATTATGGATAACAATTATAATTGTGACTAAGTTATTGTAAGTACATAATAGTATTTATTAAATATCCTAAAACAAGGAAACTTGAGACTTGAGTTTATAGACATATTATATTCTCTATACCTATTCTGGTGGATTAGATACATGTATAGAATTTAAACCACACATTTTAGATAGTGATTAAAATGCAAATTTGAATCTGACAAAATTATCAAGTTGGTAAAATACTATACAATATATTGTATTGTGCATAGTATGTACGACGTTATTGTACGTTTTTTTCTAATTAACACATTTATTAAATACACTGATCGAATAAAGTACTGTTTATTTATACATCAGTTATTTAGCACAAATGTATAAATATTTACACTAATAGGTTTTTTCTCGGCACATAAATGGGTTATATAGGGCCATAAGGATTGAAATTATTTATTTATAAAAGAATCAATATACCTGCTGTCGGCATTGCATATTGTATAATCAATCTCGTATAGGTAGAGGAGTACCTATATTATTAGAATCGTCTTTCTAACAAAACAACCAGTACCACTATAAAACCATTATGGMTATATCCACATTTCAGATGGTACCAGTAAAATATATTCTTGAAATGCGTATGTAAATGTATTTATATTATATTGTGTAGTAATTTGTATGATATCCATTTATAAAAATAAAATGTAATCCGAAAAACAAAAGAGATCAGATTCCCAGTTTTTGAAAAGATTTTTCGGKGCTTTGAAAGATACTGTAATCAATGATCGGATGATAAGGACGAATAATGAATTGGAATCATTTTATCAAAAACTGATTATAGATGAAGCAATTAGAAACAAAGTACTGCAGGACACACTTGGGTTAACCAATACCCATTACTCCATTAAGTACCAAATAACAATCCATTAGAAAAAAACTCATTGAAAAACTGAGAATAATGTGGTATGATATAGCCAAGAAAGATGTGGAAAATTCAAGAGGAGGATCAGATTGGAAGGTGCGATAATCTGGTTGAGGTGGATGGAAAGCTGGATGTATGACGGGATCAGAGAGACAGAGACATAATACACAAATTAATAATGTCATCATGATTAATAATAAGTACATTTTTTACTGACTTGAAAAATTACACATAGTTATCAGAAATAAATAGGTGCCTATGTAATATATATATATACGAGTATTTATTTTTTTTACTATGATCAATATAATAACTGTAATTGATTATTAAGTTATTATATTAATTAATAATGTAATATGACCAATATGTAATTTTCGGGGTTAATATTTTAACTTTTTTATAATAGTAAAATAAAATCAGTTTTTTTTTATTTATCTCTCTATATATTGGAAATTTGAAAGTATTTATTAATGAATTGTAATATCTTTATTTATTTCAAGACAGACGTGTAAAACGGGATAAAATATTGTGGAAAAATTAGTGATATATAAAAATATCTTAATATTATAGAATTAATAATAGGTTTTAGATAGGTACAGTATTGGGCGCAACGTTAAAATTTAGTTATTATATATGCATATCATATAATGTATATAAATATTTATAATTTATTTTGGTTCTTAATAAATCCCTAAATTTCTCATCAAATGTGTTTGATTTCTAGAAAATTATAATTAGATCTAATTTATTATTGTGAAATGTATAAACAATTTATTAATATAGATAACTTAAAACAACATAATATGTTATACTTATATTTCTGTCGTAATTTTTTAAGAGGAATAATTAATTAGTAAGGTTGATCTATCATACTAGTACGTAGTACTATCATACTAGTAGATACCTGCTTAATATTTAACATATTAACAGTGCATAATAGTTTGTTTTAAATTTATATTTATAGCCTCGACCACATGGATAATAAATTATGTATAGCGTACAGATGTAAGATTTCATAAGCTACCTATTCTATTTTTTTGTAATTATAAGCAAGAAGAAAGACACATGCATGTTTTATGTATCATTAGATATAGGAATGCATATTTATAAGTTACCTACTTATCGTATAAGTATTTTTTATAATATTTAGGTTCGTATACAATAAGTAACTAGTTTTTTTTTACATGTTATTGTATATTTTTATAATAGGTATTAATTATTATTACCTATTTATTTATTTAATATAAGCTATTATAATGATATTTATTATTTAGATACAATAAAGCTACGAGAAACGTTGATTAAAAAAAAAGAAACATCAAATAGGTATATGAATATGTATCATTAAATATTAAAACTATAATTATGCATCAAATTTGTATGACATTGACAGTCCTAACACTCCCCAATATAAATTATTTTTGATTTTTAAGTGAAACAGTAGTTATACAAAACCTATATCTACATCCTATCTATTATGCAACTCGTTACAATTGTATAACATTATCTGTATACTACTATTACTACTATAATATATTAATATTAATATTTATAGTTCGTTTATATATTTTAATTCTTGTGAACCACTTGCTCGTTTGTTTTATTATATATTGTAATTGTTGAATATAATAGTTTTATACTTAGAGCTAATAATAATAATAAWAAAAAGGAAACGGCATGGATTTTTGAATATTTTAAAATATTATCTTTTAAATAAGACTTAACCCTTACCTAATAGATACTTAAATTATAAAATTTTTATTTTTATTAGTAAAAAATAACCATTACAGACTTGAATAGTTATAACAATATATAGAAACTGAAACCGATTTAGGTTTAAATATAAAACATAAAAATGGTAAACACGATGAATACTATTTGTTATATTATGTTGATGGTATGTACCCGTAATTATGTAACATAACATATTATATACAATTTATTCATAACACAATTATTATTAATTTTTTATTGCATTAGCTATGTCTTATTAAATATTATATTCAAAAGGTTCTGCCGGATTTGATGAAATTTAATTTAGTGTAAATCGATCATCAACAAACAAGATACCTATTTCTTTAGAAGATAATAACATAAAATAAAAAGCATAACATATAAATATCTCAAGCCAATCAAAACAATTACGAATGAAAGGTAATCAGTTATGGCCACGCTTACTGGTTTTTTTTTAAATCAAAATCTGCAATGGCAAGTTTTTTACTTTCATATCACCAAAAACATTCAACGGTTGTCAGTAATGTTTCATCATGATGCTTAGAAATTCTATCGTGAAAATGAAATATAAGCTTTTTAGACTATACCACTCACACTAGAATTACATCTTTTAGATACTATATGGCTAAATATTTACTTACCTATTAATGTTTAAAAATATATTTAACACATTATATCGAGATAATAATTAGTTGGGATAAACTTTCACATATTATATATTATATTCCTACATTATATTTTAGCTGGTAATCTATATTCCATGGACATACCTACCAAGAAACCTATTCAATAGGCGTTTTATTCTCGATGTCCGGAAACCCATCATATTGCTAGACGGGTCATCCACAAAGCACAATCGTCATGGGTCAACCAACCTGATAATCTATAATACACTATGTAATATGATGTGCTGTATATCAACTCACCTTATAATCGGCGATGGAAGAGTTACACTACGTTTGTGGTGGCTGATAGGTTTCGTGGCAAATAATCAACCACAACAATATTGTCGACCGGCAGCGGCGTTTACAAGATTGCAGCTTCTGTGGCTGTGGCGTCTAACGTGTGGCGTGTATGTGTGGACTGTCGCGTGTGCTCTCGKGTGTGCGCATGTGGGTTCGCGTGGATGACGAAAAGATCCATCCTGACGCGTGTCGGAAAAACGATCGACCGTGGAAGCGGAGGCGGTGGTAGAGAGACAGAAAGGCCAGTAGTAGGCGCGGCGCGCGAAGGGGCGGATGACCGGAGACGACGGGCTTATAGTTAACGTGGATCAAGGTGGGAGCGGAGGAGAGTATAAATCGGTTTTTAATATTGAACGTCCTTTCCGGTTTGGCTGACGACGATATATCTGGTCTGACTGCCTGCCCAATCTATCCCTCTCTCTCTCTCTCCTTATCTTTCACTCTAACTCTCCACCCCTGCTCAATTTCTATATATCTTCATCCCTTTGCGCGTGCGCCCACGTACCTCTGTCCGCGCATAAAACGCACTGCTACATTACGTTCCCAATGTATGCGTGCAGAAAGCGGCGGCACACGCGAATGCGTTATAATAAGGTATATTATCGCGTTGTGAAATGAGACTCATGGGCCCCTCGAGGATACTATCACCGCGTCCCTCCCTWCGTCGATCCTGTGGCAGTGGTGGTGGCAGCGACGGCGTTCATCCCTCTGGCGATTGGTTCACTCCCATTTTAGCACCATGTACACGCCCTCCCTCCTACCATCCAGCATATACTCACGCGAAATTGATTTCCTCTGCGACTGCGATTATACGACGCCCGTCGCTCGTTCTTTGCACGTTGTGTTGTTYGGTGGTGGAACGAAGGATATCAAGGGGATGGGCGTGGCTACTGGTGGTCGGGGTGTGTTCCACGCGCGCGCGCCCATCCGCGTTTCTACCAGCTCAACCCTCCCCGCCAACTCACGTATCATCCCTCCAACGCGTAGTTAGAATCGTCGTTATATACGCRACGGCGGCAGGGCGCAAACTAATAGCAACGATATTAAGGATTTAACGGCGTGAATAATGGTTGTCGTTCAGATTGTTTTCATGAGTATTTCATTTGCCCTCGCCACCTCAGTATCATCCACCTCTTCCTCTTCCTCTACCTCTTCCTCCTCAACCACCTCCACGCGTGCCACTTACCCGATCGTTTCTCCAATTATATCATATGTACACAATATACATAATAAACATACACATATAATATATATATATATATATATATATCGATCTCATCTAACACCCGCAAACTATACACTATACTATATACTACACTATGAGTATATATTATTATTGCACACATGGGGTACAAGCGAGCGTAGAAATATTGTGCACACGCCCCCGCACGTTTAAATAACCTAAAACGTAGTTGAATATAATAATAACCATCATATTATTATTATCATATCACGTTGCTATTATAGGCAGGTGTATAAGCGTATATATATCGAGCAATTGCAAGTACTTATACTATACAATTACAATATTAAACATGTAAATTTCCTATGTAGTGTGCTGTAGTAAACATATTTGAAWCATATTTCATAAAACGTAGCCAAGTAAATATCTGGTTTTAATCACCTTGRCCGTCAGTACTACATGTGCGATGTACTAAGGCAATTGRTTTATAAAGTTATAACAACTCATAATGGAATRAAAATATTTGTATGTATTATATAGAGTGAATTATTAAAAATGCTAACTCATTTTTTCTTCGATAATGTAATTATTCAAAATCTGGTTTTCGAAATTTTCAAACATAGATACTTATAAGACCATATTTTTAAATTTATGATATTTTTTTTACTACTTAAAGAGTGTTCTGTAATGATACAAACTTTTTTCTCGAGTAATTCAATTTTATATAATAAGAAGGAGATGGGTTTGGAAAATATGGTGATTTACAATTTTTATTTATCATTATTATTTATTAATTTAACAAAATGTACGAGTATAGTTCGTAAAATGGTCCAAGTATAATAAATACTAAATACAATATTACTTCTATTTCATGTCCCTATAAAACTACTTTTAGGTAATACGTATTATCCTAAGTGACCGAATCTAAACATTTAAATGCCTAATTTTGAAACTACTCGTTCGAATTTTTAATAAGGTAGGTACTTGGTAATTACATTTTGGGTGAAAACATTATCTAGGGGTTCTCATTTAAAAGAAAATTCTGTATCACTACAGAAAACTTCTTAAGAAATATAAACAATTTCAACAATTTATTTCACACTCTATTCTAATCAAATTTTGGGAATTTTAACTAATTGTTTACAGGCCCTATACAACACATCCAATAAAATACAGCTCGGATGTTGCATACGTGATTTCTAGGTACCATCTTATCGCTAATGACGCTAACCATTGATTAAAGATAAGATACGATAAGATAACCACGGCTATTCAAATAACGAAATGATTTAATATATAACAATATATATTATACAATTATATCATAAAATATTAATTAGTAAAAAATAATTATTCCTGTCAAAATTTAAAATATTATAAATTCATTTTAACAGACCCCTAAAATATATGGGCCCCTGTACTCCAGATTCACCCCCTCACCCCCACCACCACTCATTATGTTGGACTTTGCTTTATTACAAATTTAATTCGGATTCCAAACCATGAATTAGCACAAAGTGAAAATCTAAAATCTATGTATAGGTACTAATATTTAAATTTCCCAGTAGTTGTTAAAAAATCGTGAAAAATTGAAAATCCCTAAATAATATAAAAGGAATTTATTGACATTTCAGTTTCAATAAAATGTTGATATATTTTGAATTCATGAAATTCTATATTTTTTTTTTAAGTTTCAAACTTAAGCGCAATTTCAACAGCACTGATCACCTCAATTCTAAACAGCTCTTATATTACTATTGTTTATATGCAAACCATTTAATACCAGTCTGGTAAATACCTAAAGTGCCTGTGGGCTATAAAAAGTTGTGTGCCCCAATTGAAATAGCTTTTTGTGAAAACATTTATACCAGCTAGGCCGGATTCCGTGCAAGACCGGTTCTACCAAAAAATAAAAAAATAAAAATAGAACTCGTTTATTAATAATCTTAGACCGTACAGCGAGAAATCTTGTCGATCAACGAATGTCGATACCGGCTTGAAATTACTATTTCAGATATATAATGTCCGTGGTCCGTGGACTGAACATTGGTGCCTCCAAATCCGATGCTGTGCAGGCATAATCTACGCTGCTTTCACCTTAATCTAGGCCTGCAAATACCAAACACTCCTTTTGTAATTTAGTAATACTATTCCCTATGTGGATATATGCGTGTTGAAGTTTATTTATTATGAAATAATGTAACCTGTAACTTCAGTATTCTGAAATGTATTCCGAGTTGATGAAACGTGGACAGGTAAATTTTTTTAAAGAATATTTTATACTTTTCAAATTGCATTATTCAAATTACAGCATCATTGATAACTAATATCCATAAACTATATGATATTAAATTCGATAACAATCAATTTATATTATTTTTTTTTTTTTTTTTAAAGCAGCGTAGACACCATTGGACTATAGTCTAAACTATATTATACGATTAACAATTTATARTTAATAGTTATATACATTAAGTATATACACGTTAAAATAATGATAACTAGAGTTAGGATGTTGATGATTTGAAAAATACACAAAAAAGCCCTAACAACTTGTTTATTGGATTTTTTCCATAAAATGTATAAATATAATAATCGATAAGTGAAACGTTTGATAAACGTGTTTTGATCGGAGTATGTTTGAAAGAGCACTTGTTTTATCAATATTATATTGACAATATATAACACCCATAGTCAAATATTATATTCATAATAGTATATTATTTATGATTATATCTATTTAAGAATTTAAAATCCTATTTTAAAAGCAAGTCAACCAGCTTAAACCATCCCTTGAAGCCAGAATATATTATTTTAAGTTAATAATGAACAATTTATAGTAATATATTAAATATAATCGTGACGACCATTGTGGTAACCTKACGAGTAGCATTTGTGGTAAAATTTTAAATATTAATTGAAAAAAATAAACATTATGCAAATATGCAATATTAAGTTGACTAAAATTCATTAAATATTAAACTATGAGCACTGAGCAGCGTGAGAATTTTGTGTTGTAAGTTGTAACGATTGTCAATTTATGTTATATAATATATGTATGTCAATTTATTATATACCTACCAAATATTTAAAACACCTAGATTGCATCCTGTTAACATTTAACATAAAAAAATAAGAGAGTTTACAATTTTTTAATAAATAAAATGAGCTTCCACCATCCTGTTATTTTCATGATGTTTCATCACTTTCATCACCTTTATTACTTTATAATTAACTAGGTACCTATGCGAGTTTTATTAGTATGGTTGTTGRTTTATTATTTTTTAAGCTCAGGCACAAATATGGGGGCTAGGAAGATGTTAAGCCCTCAAAAAAATAATACAGGTTAATACATCAGAAAAAGACAATTATTGGATTTTTTAAAAATATCCTTGCCATCTTCCACTAAAAAAATCAGAGCCTATGTTTCATAATGTTTGGAATTTTTAAATACATATTTCTATCTTGGAACTACACTATAAAGATTTAAAAAATACAAATAAAATAGAACTAAAATAGTTTCCATGATGTATTTAAATTKTAATATATTTAAATTTAATGTCGCAGTATTTTTTTGTGCATTTTAACTGTTGAAAAAAGTTTATGCGATATACCTCTACAATGTAAAGTCTACATGGAGCTTTTTATATCATAATATAATATARGCATATAGCCTATAGGTTATAGATACATCATATAAATGTTTTTTCACTTATATCGATTATTGTGGTTATTCTATTTTCATAACATTGCAATCGTCATAACATAATATTTTTAACACAAATTTCAAAAACAAAATTAAATATGTAAATAATATAGGTATATATATCTTTAACAAAAGTTAATATGAAATAGACATGAAAAATCTGATACAAAATTAAATAAAGGATAAACCTGTATATAAAATAGAACATATAGTACCTCTATACTATACAGATTGTTTTGAATAAATTCCTTAAATTATTGAACTTTGTA